TATATATATATATATATATATATATATATATATATATATATATAAAATAATATAAAATATAAAATAATTTCCCTTTGGGATTATTAAAGTGATTCTGATTAGAAATTTAACAAACTCAGTGTAGGTTTAAGTTAAAGCGTGCGTGCTCCTACCGGCGATCTTCAGGTGGGCGTGGAAGTGTCTGTGTGTCAGCAGGGGCTCTGGAAGCTCTCCCAGGAAGGTTTTCAGCAGCGTGGCCACATCGTTGGGGTGAAAGCCTCCGGACTCCAGGTCCACGTCGGCCCCGGTGTTGAGCAGCTCCTTTAAGGCCTGCTGCCGGACGCTGTTCCCCGGAACCCGAAACAGGCCCTCCACATGGAGATCTGAGAAGGTAATAACCAAAGAGGAAAACCAGAAACGTATAAGACTTTTTTTTCATATTATCACACTTATTGTTCTCTTAAGAGATGAAAAGACAGAAACATCATCCTCTGTTAAATAAGGGCTGTAGTAGACACCTTGGCCCGTTTCACCACAGTTTAGGATCCAGTTTATCAGAGTTTTTAAGATCCAGAGGATTCTTGTGGACAACATCACAATTGGAAAAATGCAATCAGGTCCAAAGCCAAAGCCGAAGCACCGACCAATGATCGCAGAGGGAGAACCAAGTAATGGTTGACCAGAGGCTGAAAAGAACTCCTCAGGTGTCATGGCTGGTGTGTCCCATCAGGAAGTTGTCTGGGAAACCCTCCTCTTTCCCAAATGACACTCTCCAGCTTTTCCAGGGGTTTTGAGAGGCATTCCAAGATGTGCTATATCTGGTCTGATCTGTAGCCTGACCTGGGCCTCTTCCCATTTGGACAAGCGGGAAAAAACTTCCAAATGATGGCCGCACGGAGGCATCCAAACTAGACGAATCCCTCAGCTGACTCCTTTGAGGAAGACGAGCAAAAGTCAAGCAACCCTCTGAAATAAACTCATTTCAGCCACTTGTTTCAACCCCCCCGTCCTCTACCAAGACCTGTGAGTTGGAACAAAGATGGAGCAGTAACCTGAAGACTTCTACTGGCTCAGACTCCAGCCATCATACAATGAAGAATCCTCATGATTCATTTAAAGAACTCATTCACAGTGTCTGTTTTATAGCTAAGTTATACTGGAGTTGTCTCTTTCTAGATGGAAGTGGAATGTCCAGTGGTCTAAACAAACGGGGGATTGTTTGGATTCTTACTTTATCTCATTCCATACATGGAGAATGATTGATGAAACGGCAGCTTATGAGCAGAAAAATGTGGAATCTGGCAAAAAAAAGGGAGAGCAAACTAGTCGTGCAGAGACAAGTAGCATCCTCCAGGTGTAGGACTACCGCAGAAATGTAGCCGCACGACTTCTGAAAGCTTTCGTTTAGTTTTTTGGCGGACAAAGACTCTTGACATTAGCAGCCCAAAACACTGAACTGAATTTCCATTTTGAAAAAATATGCAAACAAAGCTTGACTTAGAAATCGGTAAGTATAGAGAGAGCACTGACTTTTACTGAGGTACCCGATGAGCTGGTAGATCTGGGAAATGGAGCTCTCTGTCAGGGATGTTCCAAAGACGATGCCTTTTTCTGTGAAAGCATTAAAACACATTAGTTATTGTGACAACAACTGGCACCAATACGTCTAGAACAAGTGGTTGAGGACCTCTGTGGATCTGATCCTGTAAGATTAGTTCAAAAACTAACTAAATGTGTCCCTTTCTTGAGTTTGATTATTCTAGGATTGGGATTTTCATGTTACTGCTGTCTAAAAGGACTATCTAATACAGTTGCTGTGGGGTCTGGATCTGTGGTTGGGAGTTTCCTGCTGCCCCCGTGTTCCTGCTCTGTTGCCGTCATAACTTCTACCATCATCATTAGTATTAATATCATTGCCATTTTTCATCTAGTCTACGTGTTGCTGTGTTGGCTGCCTCTCTCTCTCTCTCTCTCTCTCTCTCTTGCCCTCTCTTTCCCTCACCCCCAACCGGCCGAGGCAGATGGCCGCCCACCCTGAGCCATGGTTCTGCTCGAGGTTTCTGCCTGTTAAAAGGAAGTTTTTCCTTGCCTGTGTCGCCTAGTGCTTGCTCATGGTGGGAATTGTTGGGTTTCTGTAATTAACTTCAGAGTAGGGTCTGACCTGCTCCGTTTGGAAAGCGCTGTGAGACAACTGTTGTTGTGATGTGGCGCTATATAAATAAAATTGAATTGAATTGAGTTGCCATCATTAGATTGACCTAACAGAGAGATAAAAACATAGATAAGGCATGGTGGGTTTCTTTCTGACCTTTGCGTCTGAGGAAGTTGAAGGAACGGAAAAATCCTCCATTTCCACCCGTTGGCGTCTTTGAGCCCTCTTCTCCGAGGAGCTGAGCAAACTCGGCCCCGGGGAGGTCGATGAGACGGGTGATGTTGCTGAGCACCAGCTCCAGGAAGGCGTCGGGGCTCTCGTGGCGCAGTTTCTCCACGAAGAAATCCGGGTTGAAGATGACCGGTGGCCGGCCTGCTCTATGACAGCCGGGCGACTCTTCGTGGTTGATGACCATGCTGCTCACCGTGTCTCTGAGTGGGAGACACGGAAACACCACACACGCCTTTATAGACTTGGACAGAAGTCGATAACAAGACAAAATAAGACCAAAAAAAGCGCATTCATGGCGCAGCAGCCCGGATCCAGATGTACCATTCTGCACACCTCCGCCGCGAAAAATAGTGCGGTTTAGTTTACCCCCCCAGAATGTGAACTCTTCTCCTCTCTGCCAACACTGGTCATCCGAAGAAAAGCACAGCAAAGCTGAATTGTTAGAAGTAGCTAGACAGTGTCACAGGTCCAGCGTAGAATTAGAGACAGCGTAATATATTCGCCTAGCTTGACATGGAACCCGTTTGTCACAAAAGTATCGATATACGTTTTAAAGGTTTACGTTTTTAGCGCCAGTCAAGAGGAATTATGTCTTCCACTCGGTGTAGATACTAACAAACAAATGGCAACAGCAATATCGGCTCATTTTTACCTTCTATTGTGCGTGTTGTCGTTGACATCTTTCCCCGCAGCCATGTTCGGTTTGAATCCTCCGCTGTTGTGATCTGGCCCCGCCTTCGCCGCCAGCCATTGGTTGGTTATCGAATGTGGGCGTGTCGCGGTGGCGCTGATTTGCATGTCGCTCGTTGTGATTGGTCCGTTTGAATTCTTAAACTTTGTTGGTGTAAAAGCTAAACAAAGCTCCAGTCCTATGCTGAATTATAATCCATAAATAGAGCCATAACGCTAAATTTGTCGTTGTCAGCTCATTATTTATTTTAAGATCATGTTCAGATATTCCTGAACGCCCTCTTTTGTCATTTTGTTTCTCAAATATGGAACAGTAGTGTCATTACGTTAATATAACCCTGGATGACTATTTTGGTACAAGCATGAGCAAAGCGTGTTAAATAATAATTTTCCATCTAATTATATTTAAAGTATGTTAATGAAACAGAGATAGCTGACAAGCTGCTCATCTTGCAATACAATATTCTAGTTTTGCTTTAAAAAAAACATTACTCCCTTATTATAGTTCAAGGATTTACGAGAAATTATAAAATGCATAAACATCTATTTAAACCATAATAACAATGACAGTAGCTGTTATGCAGTTTTCATAATTTTATACATTTAAAAATTCTATGTAATTTAATTAAGAATAAAATCAGAAAAATGTTTTATGTCAAAGGTAACAAAGGTATGAACTTAATCTCTTCTTCGATGAGAGCTTTACATTGACAGGAAATAATGTCATTCTTCTGGACAGCCTCAATTGTTCTTTCCACATATTCACAGCCAACGATGTTCAGCTTATCAGGAAGAGCACCAACCCCAAACCAACTGAGAAATGTCAACTTAGAAGAAAATGCTGCTGATCATGTATTCAGGGGCCTAAGGGCAAAGGAATCCATGCCCTCTAACTGGCTGCCTGAGTAGGTGCTAAAAATGTAACTGTTCAGTGGATACAGTAGTGTCATTGTAGAGCCACTGAATAGATACCAGTGGCCATTAGTTGGTGCTAGATGAGAGTTCCTGGATGAAGGAAGTGGACAAAGAAGGCTTGAAAAACAGCTGGGCTGGGAGTTTGTCACGATTGCTCTCTCAGCAAGCCAAGTGGAGCCTGTTTAAGTTCAAGTGTCTTGATGTCAGTCAATGGACACTTTATCTTTAACTTACCTTTGCTAAATCATGGCAATCATAAACAACAGAATTTTAACATAACATTCATCTACGATCCAGTTTCTACCCCAAACTACCACAGATCAAGGAATTATTTTGTAGTCTTGCCTCCATCTGCAGAGTTTGTGAAGTAAGACCTTTATTCTCACAAAACAGGACAAAATTGCAATATTTGGATATTGTATTTTGCCTTAGATGTAAATAAAGAGAATCTGTTGAATGTTCAACAGACACAGACATGGACAGATCAGTGGGGTAGTGCTTGTGCCAGATGACTAAGCAACTAATAGCCGGTTAAAGTCACAACAGTGTTTCCTAGTATGGATTAATGTGTTTAGAAGGTTTCCAGTTGCTGGACAGTGACTGAGCACAAAGTAACCACAAAGCCAGTCTACAGAGGCAGACTTCCTTGAAACCGAATAACCGTCATACCCTTTCTTGCACCTAGTTTTTGGTGGGAGTGCAGCTTCCAGGGATTTAGCTACAGGCCCTGTCCTTTAAATAGGACCCCGAGGAACCAAGTGCTGTGCCAAAACACGTGAAAAACAAACCTGTAGAGGACATTCTACATTAGCTGACCCAAGAGGGGTGTGGTGGTCAGCACCATCGCCTCCCAGCCAGAAGGTTCTGGGTTGGAGTCCCCAGGGGAACCAGGACCTTTCTGGGTGGAGTTTGCATGTTCTCCTGTGTCTGTGGGTTCTCCAGCTTCCTCCCACCGTCCAAAAACCTGCATGTTAGGTTGATTGGACATTCCAAAATTGCCCTTTGGACTGAGTGTGAGTGGTTGTTGGTCTTTGTGTGTCTCTGTGTGGCCCTGCGATGGACTGGGGACCATCCAGAGTGACCCCTCCTCTCCCCATTGACTACTGGGATAGGCTCCAGTCCCCTCCGTGATTAGAGAATAAGAGGTTACGATAATGGATAGATGGATGTCCCCAAGAGGATTTTTTGTGTACTGTGGATCCCTCTCCACCGATGTAGGGCGATTCCTGGCGGGGATAAGCTTGGCACAATACCTTACGTGAGCATTGGCAGATAGGGCTCGTGTTCGGGGAGCAGACGGCTTGGTCATTACCTGTGCGTGTGAATGGCCTTAGCCCACACTCGGCTGCTCCCGGTTTGTAAGCCTATCAGCAGCAGCAGCTGCCAGACTGCTGAGAGGACTACACCCGAAAGTCCACAAGCTGTTCACCTGTGGGCCAGGTCCAGTCGTCTCCTCCACTTATTTTCCTCATTTCTGGAGAGGCTCATGCCTATTCTGACAAGTTACAAAAGGTCTTAAGATAGGGAAATTAGCTTAATGCTTTACAAATGTCTCATTTGAAGCCTGTTTTCTTTTATGTCATGCATGATTTTAGCAAAGACATCAAGTTTTTTACTGATATCTGTACCAACAACATGAGGTTTAGTTATCAGTTAAGAATGAGGTAACCCCTTAGCATAAGCCCACCTTTATTTTCATTTGAAAGAGTCCCTCCCTGTGAGCTTTGAAGCTCAGTTCATGCTGGAAAAACCACAGCAGTTAGCTTCTCCTGCTTAAGGTGCCAGTGTGAAATCAGGCTAATCCGGTCCAGGTGGTCCTGTCTGCTTCTATTAGAGGTGGCTTCAGGAGGATGACTGAATCAGAGGAAAGCTGAGCAGGCCTCTGAGCTTTAAACTAGAATAGATTCTTCAAGTTTTCAGGGTGAAGCTCAGTGTCTTTGGTCTGATTTCAGAACTGACTAATGAGGAGAAGATACATTTTTGTCCTGTTAAACGTTGGTTGTCAAGAGGATCTAAGAGTTGAATATATGACTGTTCGTTGTTTGAACTATAAAAAGGCAAAACCTGTACAAGCAAATGGACAAAAAATCTGCTGCTACAGAGCATTTATTCATTTTATAGTTAGGAATCAGAAGAACAGGAGCTAATAAACCTTAGCAGAAACTTAATCAATGCTGGTAGTCAAAATAGTAGATTTACATGTAATAAATAAACTTCTATTGAATAAATACTCTGAATAAATAAATAATCATCTAGAAATGGACCATCAAAGAAAGTACTTGTGTGTTCGGGTTTGAAGCTCGCTGGAGCCACGATGTGTTGGCAGATCTTCATTTGACTTCATGGCTCTGCTCTCCCATCAGGCAGTTCATCTTTCTCCACCAGGTTTCCGCGAGGGTCTTGATTTTGTCGGGGGTCTTCCTGGTCAGGGCGAGGCTCTGCTGCTGGACGCCGGTGCTCTCCGCCTGCTGGAAGCTGGCTAGGATGGCCGAGTCAAAAGTGTCTTTCAGGTTCTTCTGGGTCAGGGCCGAGCACTCGGCGAAGCCCGCCGCCCCCAGCTCCTGGGCCAGCCTCCGGCCCTCCTCCGGCCCCACCGGCCGCTGCTGGTTCTGGGCCAGCTGGATCAGGACCTGGACGTCCTCTCGCAGGTCCAGCTGAGTGCCGACCAGGATCAGCGGCGCTCCGGGACAATGCCGGCGGATCTCGGGGACCCACTTGCTGGTCAGGTTCCGGAACGAGCAGGGGCGGACCACGCTGTAGCACAGGAGGAAGACGTCGGCATTCCGGTAGCACAGAGGCCGGAGGAGCTCCAGTTCATCCTGCAACAAGACAAGGAGCACCACACAAAGTCACTTATATGAACAATTATAGACATCAACAAAGGCTTTACGGTCCTACCAATCTCACGAAAAGTAAGGTAAGGCTATAGTGGGACTGACGGGGTGGTAAGTTTAGTGGGAGAACTTCCAGCTATATTTGGGGACTTGGCACCAGTAAATAATTCACATCTATTTGATTTTGAAAGCTATGAAAGGAAAAAAAATGAGAGAAAAGGAAGAGGAAAGGAGCACTTTGAGATCAGGAGATGGTATTTCATCCCATGGACGAGAATGAATGACTACATAGATCATCAAAGCAGGATGATCTCGTCCCATCCTGTGGTCTCCCCACAACTCTAAGACCATGGAGCCTTGTGCGTTTATTGATTTTATTCAAAGTAAAGACAAGGAACTTGTGCTGCTAACAAAAGCACCAGGCTCGGAGAATGATTCCCCTAAATTCGACGGCTAAACTTCCAGTACTACGATCTCCATATAGACCAGCGAGCAGCGCTGACCATCTGGAGGTCATCAGCTTATAACCTCCAGGAAACTGGACAGTGATCGCTTCTATCCCAGAGTAGTACCCCCTCTATGGAGCCATCAGTGCTCCTCACACCACCACAACTATGTCCCCTATCACCAAAAAGTACTCTGACCAGCTAGCCCAGTCCGGAGGGGGCAGGAGGCTGAGGCACCGGCAGATTTAGCAAACAAACTCATCCAAACGGTAGACAAAATGCCTAAAACACCTACCAAACTCAGGCAAAGACCTGCTACAAACACTAAACAGTCCTCCATCCACTAGAATCATCAACAGATATAAAACTGAGGCATCTTGACCGAGTGAATCCCAGAAGTCCTTGATCTAAACCTGACAACTCAAACCTGGATTTATCCTTCTTACATGTCCTCGATTTGAGAAATTAAGCGATTAATGGATCTGTGAGGAGCTTATCCACTTTAAACATTCTCTTGAAATATTTGAAATCTAAACGATGTGATTTAAATGATTCCAGCAGTTGTTTAGATTGTAAAGAAAACTTTAAATTGAATCTCCCGTTGGGCTGATTGTGGGGCTGTATGGTCTCATACACTGTACAGGGACAGGAAAATCAGTGCCATCCTGAAAATAATTCAGCCAGATTCTACTTTCTTTATGTGGAAAGCGGCTAAAAACGGACTGACGTCATTTCACTCTTGGAGATGTTTTTTAACGAATAAAGGGAGAATTCTAAAAAGGGAAAGGAGGACACTGAGGCTGAATTTGTGCAGAGCCCCTTAACCAGAGGAGGGCGACGGAGTACAGGCTAAGAGGGGGGTTTAAGTACAGGGGGGCTAAACTGGAGTCCATGACTAAAAGCAGGCTTTAGGGGGCAGGCTTCACAAACACTTTTCACCCTAAAATGAAAAGAATAACCTACTCATCTCTAGTAACTTACGTTAATCGAGCCATCCTCAAGCCCCCATTTCTGTCACGGGGACACAGCACAGGAAAGGGGGAATAAAAAAAACATCATCTGATTCCATCCACACGTTCACAAATGTGATGCGATATCTTTAAAAGGGAGGAAAAACGGCCTCAGCTCACCTGTCCAGCGGTGTCGCACAGCTGGACTCTGACTGGTTTGCCGTCCACCACAACCATGACTAGAAAGATAAGAAAAGAAAAAGGGAATCAGGCTGGTTATGGTCTGCGCCCTGCCCGGTTGTCCGGTGTTCTGATGCGCAAAAAAAAAACGCTCCGGTTCTGGGTCCCGTTACCGGTGAAGTTGTCGAACGCCGTGGGGACGTACTCGGCGGGGTACCCGTTGGTGGTGTAGCTGACCACCAGGCTGGTCTTCCCCACCGCGCCGTCCCCGACCAGGACGCAGTTGAGCTTGCGCTCCGGCGCGGAACCGGAGCGCCGGCGCCTGGCCCCCGCGGCGCCCTCCCGGCCCCTCCAGCGCCGCTGGGGGGGGGCCCAGGGAGCCACCGTCCCCCCCGCCGAAGGGGTCCGACACCCGGCAGGGCTTGTGCTTCCCGACCTCCTGCGGCAGCATGGCTTCCAACTCTCCCCGGCCGGCTCAATACGCGCTCCGCATCGTCTGCGCGCGCTCCACCCCGCGCGCGCTTTTGCCACGGCCCAGGGTTCGTGCAACCTGCGGAAGAGATGGAAGAGACTTGGGCTCAGAGGGATATCCTGATTGGCATCCTCCCTACACCTGTTGTGGTCTTGCTCTTAAGAGGCTTAGCGAGAACGGGCACCAGATGAAGATCCAGACTTCCAGGAGAAGAGAACCAAGCCTTTAACGGAAACATTTGCCCTCCTCCACACCTTTTAGAAGCCACTTCTCATTCTAAATCAACTCAAAACGTTTTTTTTTACATTTATATATATTTTTTTTATTAAAGATGTTAGTTTTATTGGTGCTCCTCCGAGATTAGGGGGTGTTCTGCTGCCCTCTAGTGGTCAAACCGTGTGAGTTTTGAGGACCAAAGGAAGAGAGTTGGATGCAACCCATGAATCATAATCCCTGTGTGAGCAGCAGGTTCTTATGTGTATGTAAGGAGAGAGGAAGAGGGAGAAGGAAGGAAAAAAAAAATAGCAAGCGGTTAAAAATAGATGAAAACGTCAAAACCGGGGGGAGGAAACGATGGTGAGCAAAGTGTAGGAGGGGAACTACTGCAACCAGGAAAATCCACCGTCTATCTGCTGTTTTATTGACCTCTACTGAAAGAGATTCAGCTACAGTATTATGATGTGTAGATAAAGAATTTATTCAAGTTCTTATTAACGAACAACATCATGTAAACACACTTCATTAGAAATATAGAAAATATTCATTATACTGGTTTTACCTGTTTTTACCCATTTTCATCCATATTCAAAGAGCAAGAAAATGATCATTCAGTCGATGTATTGTGCCGTTTACCTTCATTTCCTAATTCCATAAACCTATCTTGTTTCAAATGTAACTAAAAATAAAATTGACCAACGTCCGTTTTGAGTTTGTGGAAGGAAACACTTGAGGAAAACCCTTTTTCAGAAGAAAGGCGACACTAAGGAAAGGTCAACCTGCGACAAAACACAGAAAACATCCACTGGTTCTCTTTTTTTTTTTGGACAGACGGGGTCAGTAAAGGCACCGCTGCCCCAGTGGACGGCGGGCCGGAAGGCTGCAGGGCAGGAAAGTGTCTCTGTGTGTGTGTGTGTGAGTGTGTGTGTGTGTGGGAGGCAGAACGTGCTGCCATGCTGTGAACAGCATCAGAAAACGCTACATATACTGGAAATATACTGGACCTATACTGGACCTATAAACACCCAGCACACAGCCTGACAGAGACTGACCAGAGAGGCTGGGTCTGGGCGTCCAGCACTGACCAGTCCTCTCTGTGGGCCTTTCACGTGCCATAAAATTCCTTTAGATTCCCCTCTTTTCTCTCTGGATATGCTATTGTTTATCGGCCTTATTTGCGTCCCTCACGCTGTACATACCACAAACATGTATATGATGAAACATGTGGGTCCAGCTGGAAACTGGACAAGTGCTGTCCTCTTTTCCTATGTAGAATTCTGTTCAGTTTCAGCTCCTCAATCCCCTCATGTTAAGTGATAATATATGCGTTGTCATCTTTCTGAAAAGGGTCAAATAGCTGTTTTAAACCTTAGATGAGCTGCAAACTAAAAGCAAAAACCCTTCATTATGTCAAATATCTTATTTATGGAATTACGATGTTTCTTTTTTACCTCTAAAGTACGTTTATAAAGTGTTCTGTATGATGTATATCAGTAGTTGAAGGTAAAAAATAGAAGCCTATCTTTCATTAGGTCCAGTAGCTAATAAAAGTGGACCTGGACTACCTCCAGATACCATTTAAACTGAGCTGTAAATGGAATGGGGGAAAAAAACGCCTGTTCTATCCAGAGGGTCGGAGCTATTGCTGCCAGCAGGATGACCTCCTGCGGCTAAACCTCGAGAAAACACACTTTGTAGTCTTTAAAACGCGTTTTGTGGAGGATGAGGCATACTTTACCTCGCGATCGTCACCTGGTGCAACACTCTCAGAACAGTCTATTCGGACGATGATATGAAGCCTGGTGGTGACATTACATTGTTAATATTATTATTATTATTATCACAATGGTCTACCAGTCTATGAGCTACTGATAGAGCAGCATTATAAAAACAGAAGAACTCATAATCTAATACAAATCTGACAAATTGCCTTCAACAAGCTGCCGAAGTCTCAGCCAAAGGGGGAATAAAAGAAAAGTCATCCAGAATGGAGACACTGGCGGGCTCGTAGAGCTGGCCCGGTACCCCCAAACCCATGAACCCCCATCGGCACGCACACACACACACATGTACGTAACACACAAAGCCGCCATTCAGCTCCAGTCCAAACAGAACCCCCCCCCCTCATCCGCCGACGTCTGATAAACTAGACACCTAATCAGAATCTTTGGGGACCCGGGGACCCCTTTTTTTT